AAGCACCTGGTCCCGCTGGCGCGTTTTGGTGAAAGTTTTGCAAGCCGGTATTTCAAGACGCCCTTGGCCGGATTCCAGGGCGGAGCGATCGTTGCATCTGCTGCTTCCCCTCGGCCCCGAACGCGGCTCGGGCTGGATAAAACTCTCCCTTGTTCCCAATTTTCCAAACCCTTCCCTGGATCGGGGGGGGCTGTCCCTTCCTCCTCCTCCTCCACCGCAGCGATCCAGTAAAAAAATTAAACAAACAAACAACTTCCAGCCTCTCCAGGATTCTGGAGCCGGGATAACGACCAGGAAAATCCCTCGGCTGGCTGGGAGAGATATCATCAAATCCGGCTGGGAATGACGGGGAGGGGGAGGAGGAGAAAAAAAAAAAACTTCCGGAGGGAGAAGCCAGCCGTGCCGTGCCGTGCCGTGCCGTGCCGTGCCGTGCCAAGCTGGTTCTCCCGGGGGCTGTTTGGGATTCCTCCTTTCCCTCCATCCTTTCCCTCCTTTCCCTGGGACGTTCCCGGCTCCTGCGGGGCCCGGCCTGGCTCTCCGGGAACTCGGAGGAGTTAAAAGAGCCCTTTTGATGCGTCAGGGGAGGGGAAGGGCGGTTGGGCAAGAGGAGCTCGGGGTGGCATCGGGCAGGTCGGGCGGTGCTGACAGACCTGACACCCACGCGGAGGGGGCACGGGAGCCTCGTGCCGCGCCGGGATCTTCCTCCTTATCCTCGTCCTCGTCCTCGTCCTCGTCCTCGTCCTCCTCCTCCTCCTCCTGGTCCTCCTCGAACTCGGAAGGAGCGAATGCAGCCCCCGAAAATCGCCCGAGGCAACTTCGCAGGGTCGGGGGTGGGCTCTGAGCGGCTGCTCCGGGGACCTGGGCAGGTGTTCCATCTACCTGGGTAAGTGTTCTATTTACCTGGGCAGGTGTTCCAGGCCCCTGTATGGGTGTTCCAGGTACCCAGGGAGATGTTCCAGGCACCTGGGCAGGTGTTCCATCTACCTGGGTAAGTGTTCCATCTACCTGGGTAAGTGTTCTATTTACCTGGGCAGGTGTTTCAGGTCCCTGGGTAAGTGCTCCAGGTCCCTGGACGGGTGTTCCATCTACCTGGGTAAGTGTTCCATCCACCTGGGCAGGTGTTCCAGCTACCCAGGGGGGTGTTCCAGGTACCCAGGAGGGTGTTCCAGGCACCTGGGTAAGTGTTCCATCTACCTGGGCAGGTGTTCCAGGTACCCAGGGGGGTGTTCCATCTACCTGGGCAGGTGTTCCATCTACCTGGGCAGGTGTTCCATCTACCTGGGTAGGTGTTCCAGGTACCCAGGTAAGTGTTCCATCTACCTGGGCAGGTGTTCCAGGGAATTTTTGCAGCCGGGAACAGGGAAAAAGCACGAAAAAAAAAGCCCCTCCCCCCCTGCCTTGGGATTCCCAGGATTCGGGTGGGTCTGGATTGGTGGGTTTAATTCCATGTCCTGTTTGGGATTCCCAGGATTCAGGTGGGTCTGGATTGGTGGGTTTAATTCCATGTTCTCCCAGGGATTTTTCCCATTCCCACATATATTATATATTTTTATATCTAAGATTTATGTATAAATATATAAAACTATATAATCTATTAAAATGTATAAAAATATATATTATAACGAACATAATGGTTTATATGTATAATATATGAATATATTAAAATTTGTATTATAATTTATACAATTTTAATAATAATCTAGAATAATTTTATCTGTTATCCCACAACGTAATGACACCATTATTTCTATTTACACAAATAATTAAAACACTACAATTACATTTTAAAAAATTAAACAATCAGATAAAAAAAAAACCACCAGAAACCCCCAAACGACTTTTTAAAACCGGGCATTTAATAATTTAATAATTTAATAATTTAATAATTTAATAATTTAATAATTTAATAATTTAATAATTTAAATACGATTTTTTAAATTATTATTATTCTGGAGATTTGATTTAAAACGCGATTTTATTCCCGTTGCCGGGTTTATTATTATTAATATTTATTATTATTAATATTTATTTATTTGTTTGTTTATTTATTTGATTATTTATTTATTTATTTATTTATTATTTTTTCGGGCAGTTTTTTTCCGAGCCCGAGCCTCGAATTCCCGTCGGGAATTCGGACCAGGAGAAGCAGCTCCAGGTTTTTTTTCCCCGCGGCCGGAAGATGGATCAGAACGGGAATCCCCAAAAGCCTCCTGGGGGGGGGGGGGGGGATGTCATTTCGCGTTAATTAACGCGTTAATTAATCGCCTCGTTAATTGACCGGAGGGTCTGGAGGAAGGTCTGGGATGCAGGAAGCGAACCGATGGGATTTTGGGAAGGGAATTCCTCTCCCCGGAATGGATCTCCCAGGATTTCCTGGGAATATCCCAAGGCCGGGTTGGATCCCCCCGGGATGGCGGGAGATGGAACGGGACGAGCTTTAAGGTCCCTCCCAACCCCCAAATTCCTCCCGAAATCCCGATTTTATCCGGTCTGAGCGTTCCCTTCGCGCGTTCCGGCCGATCCAGAGGGAAAAAAAAACCGGGAAAAACTCCGGGAGATGAAGGACAGAGCCAGCCCCACGAGCTGATTTTTGGGCTGAAAATCGGGTTTTTTTGCCCTCCCAGGACTCTCAAAACCTCCCCAAGGGGGGGTCCGGGGGGACCCACGGGTTTATTCGCGGCCTTCTCAGCTCAGGAAAAGCTCCCGCGTGTCCCGCGTGGGCGGGAAGTGGAGCGGAACTGGCGGTCCGTGGGCCACCCGCGGGAGCCGGCGGGGCACGGCGAGCAGAGTTCAGCGGCGGTGAGGCATCCGCGGGTGGAAACCTCCACGCCCAGCCCTTAATGACAGCCCTGCAGCTCCCGCGCGTGGGGTCAGCGGGGAGGGAGACACGGGGAAACAGCCTCCCCCCCCCCTCACACGGGGGCGGGGAGGGGTGGCTCCGAGACCCTCCGTGCTGCCCCGGGTGGGAGCTTCGTGACCCTCCGTGCTGCCCCGGGGGGCTCTGTGACCCCCTCCGTCCTGTCCCGAGTGGGCTCCGTGACCCCCCCCATCCTGTCCCGAGTGGGCTCCGTGACCCCCCCATCCTGTCCCGGGTGGGGTAGGGGGGGACACTGGGAAGGAGCGACCCCGGGGGCAATCCCAGTGGGTGCGTGGGTGGGTGCGTGGGTGTTCCCCCCCCCCACTTCTCAGGCGGTGTCTGCGCCTCCCCGTGGGATGAAAAACGAAGTGGAGGGGAGAGGGAGAGAGAGAGGAGTGGGGAGAGGGGGGGGGGGGGGGGGGAAAAAGCTCCGGGCTCCTCTCGCGGCCCCGCGGGGAGAGCTGTGGGGTGCGTGGGTGCGTGGGTGCGTGGGTTTGGGTTACACTTTCTCGGACATCCCCCTGGGCAGGGAGTGGGGCGAGTGCAGCTCCACCGACTGCCGCCGCCGGGCCTCGCGCTCGGCCCACTCGTGGTCGGGGCCGCGGCCACGCAGGATGGCCAAGCGCTCCTGCAGCGTCCGGGGCTGCGGGGACAGCACCAGGTTGTAGAGCAGAGAGGCCACGGCCGCGCCCAGCAGCGGGCCCACCCAGAACACCTGTGGGGGGACACGAAGGGGTGAGTGGGACCCGGCCGGGAACCCTCCCGGGAGTGGGAGGGTGGGGGGACAACCCCCGGGGGTCCCGGGGGTCCCGGAGGGAGCAGAACCGGGCCAGGACCCCTCCTGAGGGTGGGAGAGTTGGGGACCATCCCTGGGGGTCCCAGGACCCGGCCGGGACCCCTCCCGGGGGTGGGAGGGTGAGGGGACCATCCTCGGAGCCCCCCAGAGGGAGCAGAGCCCGCCTGGGACCCCTCCTGGAGGTGGGAGGGTTGTGGGACCATCCCCGGGGGTCCCAGAGGGAGCAGAACCTGGCTGGGACCCCTTCTGGGGGTGGGAGGGTGGGGGGAGCATCCCAGGGGGTTTCAGAGGGAGCAGAACCCAGCCGGGACCCCTCCTGAGGGTGGGAGGGTGGGGGGAACATCCCCGGGGGTCCCGGGGGTCCTGGAGGGAGCAGAACCCGGCCAGGACCCCTTCCGAGGGGTGGGAGGGCTGTGGGACCATCCCCGGGGGTCCTGGAGGGAGCAGAACCCGGCTGGGAACCCCCCCGGGGCTGGGAGGGTGGGGGGAACATCCCCGGGGGTCCCAGGGGTCCTGGAGGGAGTAGGACCCGGCCGGGACCCCTCCCGGAGGGGGGAGGGTGGGGGGAACATCCCCGGGGGTCCCGGGGGTCCCAAAGGGAGCAGAACTCGACCAGGACCCCTTCCGAGGGTTGGGAGGGTGGGGGAACCATCCTCGGAGCCCCCCAGAGGAAGCAGAGCCCGCCTGGGACCCCTCCTGGAGGTGGGAGGGTGGTGGGACCATCCCCGGGGGTCCCGGAGGGAGCAGGACCCGGCTGGGATCCCTCCAGGGAGTGGGAGGGTGATGGGACCATCCCCGGAGCCCCCCGGGGGTCCCAGAGGGAGCAGAGCCAGACCAGGACCCCTCTCGGGGGTGGGGGGACCATCCCCGGAGCCCCCCGCGGGTCCCGGAGGGAGCGGAACGGAGCCCTCGGCTCTGCTCTAGGGGGGTCCCGGATTCCCAAATCACCCCCGGCCCTCTCTCCTCCCCCCTCCCCGCCTTCCCAGCCCGTCGATGATGAGGGGCCCGTCCAGGATGTGCTGGGAGGGGGGTTTAGGGTCCTCTGGGGGAGCTTCTTCCCGAGGGTTTGAACGGTGGGGGGACAGGGAGGAAGAGGAGGAGGAGGGGGAGAAGAAGAAGAGGAGGAGGAAGAAGAAGAGGAAGAGGAGGAAGAAGAGGAGAAGCAGGAGAGGGAGAAGAGAAGGAGGAGGAAGAAGAGGAGGAGGAGAAGGAAGAAAAAGAGGAGAAGGAGGAGGAAGAAGAAGAAGAAGTGGAGAAGGGCGAACAGGAGGAAGAGGAGAAGGAAAAGGAAGACGAAGAGGAGGAAGAGGAGAAGGAACAAGAGGAGGAAGAACAAGAGAAGGAAGAAAAGGAGAAAGAGAAGGAGGAGAAAGGAGGAGGAAGAGGAAAAGGAAAAGGAAGAGGAAGCACCACCTTGGGCTGGACCCCTCTGAGCTCATCCCCCCGAGCCAAAATCCCCCCTGGAAGCAGGGAAGGACCCCCGCGCTCCACCGGCCTCGCTCCTCCCGCCCAGTCACTCGCGACAAACCCCACGCCCCGCTCCTGTCGCAACCCCGCGTGGGACCAGCCGGGCTGGCACCTCCCTCTCCTTTTCCTCCTCTCCCATCCCTGCTCCAGGCGGGATCCCGCCGGGAGCTGGCTCCGAGGCTTTGGGGGAGGGGGGGAATTTTTTGGGGGGGTTTATCCCACCCCCGTCCTTACCCAGTGGTCGCTGAAGTCGCCCACGATGACGGCGGGGGCGAAGGATCGCGCGGGGTTCATGGAGCAGCCGGTGTAGCGGATCTGCCGGGAGAGCGCTGGGATCACCCGCCGCTCCCAAAAAAAAACCCCCTTTTTTGGGATTTACCCGAATCCTGGGATGTCTTGGACGTGATCTATCCCCCCGCTTCTCCCTCCTCCGGCATTCCCAGCGCCGGGAATTCCTCCCGACCCCTCCCCAGGAGCGCAGGGATGGATCCTGCCCCGTCTGATCCCGCCGGGAATTCCTTCCCTGGGCTCCGTGTCCGCTCCAAGGAGAGCAGGGATGGATCCCGCCCCGTCTGATCCCGCCGGGAATTCCTTCCCTGAGCTCCGTGTCCGCTCCAAGGAGAGCGGGGATGGATCCCGCCCGGCCCGATCCCACCGGGAATTCCTTCCCCGTCCATCCCGGGACACGGGAGGGTTGTGAAGGTGGAGTTTTAGTCCCGATCCCGGCGGGAATTCCCGCAGCGTCCATCCCAAAATTCCCGGGGTCTCCGTTCCCCGACACGGTCACTCCCCACGCGGGAAAGATCCCACCGGCCCCTGGAGCTTCAGAGCCCAGAAAATCGAGGCTTTTCCCGACTGAAATTCGGGGTTTTGTGCCCCAAAATTAAGGGTTTTTATGCCCCTCCAATTAAGGTTTTTCGTGCCCAAAATTAAGGCCTTTCAAGCCCAAAATGAAGGTTTTCATGTCCTAAAAACAAGAGGGTTATGCCCCCAAATTAAGGGTTTTTTTATGCCCCAACATTAAGGTTTTCAAGCCCCAAAATAAAGGTCTTCAAGTCCTAAAAACAAGGGCTTTATGCCCCAAAATTAAGGGCTTCATGCCCCCAAAATTAAGCTTTTTTTTTTTTGTGCTCCAAATTCCGGGTTTCCATAAACCTTAAAATTCAGGTTTTCATGCCCAAAATAAAGGCTTTTCATGACCTTTTCAAGGCCTCTTTTCATGCCCCGAAATTCAGCATTTCAAGCCCGAAATTCAGCGTTTCATAACCCCGAAATTCATGAATCTCACACCCCAAAAATTCAGCTTTTCATCCCCCAAAAATGAAGCTTTTCACGCCCCAAAACCCGGGTTTTCCATGCCCCCAAAATCCAGGCTTTTCACACCCCGAAATTCATGTTTTTCACACCCCAAAACCCCCCCGTGTTTCATTCCCCAAAATTCACTCAAAAAAATCACCTTTCCACCCCCAAAATTCACCTTTCCACCCCCAAAATTCACCTTTCCACGCCCCAAAATTAAGGTTTCTGTGCCTCAAAAATTCACCTTCCCAAGCCCAAAAAATTCGCCTTCCCCTCCACACCCTCCCCGCTCCCCCCCCGGGCGTGTTTTCTCCCGGTTTATCCCGGTTTTTCTCCCATTTTTTCTCCCGGTTTCTCCCGGTTTTCATCCCCGTTTTCTCCCGGTTTTTCTCCCGGTTCATCCCGGTTTTTCTCCCATTTTTTCTCCCGGTTTCTCCCGGTTTTCATCCCCGTTTTCTCCCGGTTCATCCCGGTTTTTCTCCCGGTTTATACCGGTTTTTCTCCCATTTTTTCTCCCGGTTCATCCCGGTTTTTCTCCCATTTTTTCTCCCGGTTTTTCTCCCAGTTT